TTCATGAAGATTGGATGAAAAGATAATTCAAATGCATCTCAACTCTTCCAAATAAAGATTCCACAAAGTTTGAATAGTTATGAATGGGATTCATCTGTATCTTCAGTAGACTGGGCTTAAGCTGAATAAGTCATCTCATGTAAAATAATGAACCTTCAATTCAAATTCTGATACATTAAAGTAATATTTTTACCCATGCCCTTCGACAAAGTGGCAGGCTTTCTTAGTGCTGTCAAGACCATTGGGATCCCAAGCCAAAAGTTTGCAGTGGATAAAGACCTGTTGAGTAGAGGGGAAATATAGGCGTCATGGCATCAATTAATATCAGTTTCCACAATAAAACCTTGACTCTGAAAAAAATTTAAAGGCCAAGTTACCTCTTCTCCCATAGCAAACGTAAAGGTCTGAAGTGATAGGCGGATCTCCGATGACTTTTGCCTTGGTTCGAATTTTGATCTTGACGACACACTTTCCAAAAGACATCTGTTGGGTTAAAGAAAATGTATTAGCATTACGCCCAAAATATATTTTTGAAATCAATGCTAATTGCCATGAGTACCCTTTATTGGAGATTATAGGGTACATGGTGCTTTCAGGGTAGAGCTCTGGTGTGGTAGCAGCTACACATTCCTCAAGAAGCAGCAGCAAGGGCTGATGGGTCTCCTGCACCACACTAGCCATGATGGGGATGATGGAGCCCAGAGGAAAGCGTGTAGATTCAGCAGGGCCTGAGAAGTCGTCTAGGGCAGTAAACAGGAGAAGAGTCATTAAGTTACAAAAGTCAGGGAGAGCTGCCGTTCGTAGAGAGTTTCTCATGTTGTTTACCCACCATTCATGAGGCCAATGTTAAACTGCAGATCTCCTAGACTGTAGGTTTTAAACACCGGGTCATAGATCGTAGCATACCAGTCTTTGGGCCTGCAAAAAAAAAGCAGATGGGTACAGAAAATGCTGCAAAGTGAAACTATTGAACTTATTAGTGCAAGCTTGTTCACTCCTACGAACTAATTCTTTATTCTTATTCCGCCGGGTTATTTTGTCCGGCTTCTTCTCCCACTTCGCAGAAACTCCGTTCAAATCGTTCAGGAATTGATTGCTATTACTTTTCTCATTCATAATTCCCGAGATACATCCCATAATTCATCACATTTTTAACATGGAAGTCAAGAGAAACTCTTCAGACAAGAAATCTTCATGCGACTTCAACTGCCAACTGTTCCTTCATACTTCCACTCAGAAACCTCATTCCAACTTTAAAATGTTACACATCTTTCTGACATTATTCATATTAAACAACTTTTAAATCAGATTCATACTTTTAGAAATATTAGACATTGCTCAGAAGAACTTGGTAAAGAGGCCTTCTTCAGATTTTAACATTAGTGTGTATTGCACAGCTCGTTAAGGCTAGAGTGCGTGATTTCATAGCTAGAGTGGAGGACAGCTTGAAATTCGCCTTCATATATATTTTTAAACCTGCCAAACCCTACACTCCTGAGACATAATTTTTCATCAGGAAACATCTCGTAGCTCCATTAAAGCCCATTGTACATTCAGGCTCATCTTTCCTCACACCTTTATTTAGTTTGTCAAAAATGGCACATTATTGACCCGAAAGTACACAAAAAGCGCACTTCAGATGCCAAGGGTTCTTGAGATGCTTCACACGTTGAAATTTCACCGATATCTGTTACGGTTATTCAACAAAACGTTCACATGCAAGAGGTTTATCTCTCATTCAGAACAATGGAAAGGCTCTCCTCACTGATTACTGCAAATCACCATGGAAACCTTTGATCTCTGGGCTCAAGCACAGGTGTTTCATAACGTCATTAGCTCAAACATAAACACCTGTGTGATGGAACATGATTTCATAACTCCAACTGACATGCTCAGAATGCCACCAAACATCACATGATGGTTAACACTGTGGCCCTGAAAAGCTCTACATCAAATCTGATTTTACGTAATGTGGTGTTACTATGGCAACGCATCCCTCGCCATAAAACACGATGTCGCTGTAACTCCAATGGACACGGTCTAATCTTCCCCCAATATTCACTTGTATATCACCGGTCCATGCCTCAACAGTCTATGCCAAATCTGAGATCTCACCATATGCGGTTTCCATGGAAACGCATCCCTCGAATTAAAACACAATGTTGTCGTGATACATAAGCAAATGGTCTAAAACAGCACTAGACTTCAGATAATGGTTAATGGTCCGGCCCTCAACAGCTCTATGAGAATTATGGGGTTTTATCCTATGCCGTTTCCATGGAAATGCATCCCTCGCCATAAAACACGATGTTTGTCGTAACTGATATGAAAATGGTCAAAACACCACCAGACTTCATATGACAGATAATGGTCCAGCCCTCAACATGTCTGTGCCATTAGTGAATTTTCCTCAAAAGCTGTTGCCATGGCAACGCATCCCTTGCAATAAAACACAATATTGCTATAACTCCTATGAAAATGGTCAAAAAGTGCTCAAACTTCACATTTGTGCCAACAGTCCAGCCGTGAAGACATCTACGGGACAGTTTTGAGATTTATTCAAATGCCGTTGCCATGGCAACACAATGCTCACCATGAAACATGGTTCTCATAACTTCAGTGAAAATGCTCCAAACTTCACAGGTTTTGTAACGATGAAGCCATCCACATATCGAAGTGTATTATGGGGTGTCAAATACCGTCGCCATGGCGACAGATCATTCGCCATCAACTTAGTTCAATAGTTTGCAGTTCAAATATTCTGCTACTTTTCCAAGCTTTATTACTTTCTTTTCTTCTCTTATCACAAATTCAAGCCCCCAGTGTTCATGTATCATTTCAATCTAAAAAGTCTTCACTTTCTTCTTACACATTACATTTCTGCATAGCAATTCAACGTCAGCATAAAGTATTCCCACTAGCAATTTCTTCAGGAATTGCATTCTCTAGTCATGAACTGCTACTCCTATGTTAAAAGACTTCCTCCAAAACACAAAAAACTAGAGTGAACTTAAATTTGTGATGTTCAAATAAAACTATGGGAAAAACTCAATTGACAATGAATTGGGAACAACACAGTGTACCTTAGGGATTGTTCTCAGTAAATAGGTACATTTTTTGTTGAGAATACTTCAATAGATAAAGCTAATTTGGGAATGAAACAGGCTGTAGATTCCCTAAATCAGTCTCCCATTCATTGTCTATATAGCAGCTTCAGACTTTATACCTGATGACATCACAAGTTTGAGACGGTCTTCCATTGTTGGTGGCTTTGAGAGGGAGAAGCTTATTATCAAATTGAAATTTCCCAGGCCATGAAAATGCCAAATTGGAATTGTTAGTCAAGGGTAGTGTCACCCTTTAGCACCTTATGTTGGTATGAACACTAACCTCTCATATGCACATACAACTGGGTGGGTGAAGGCCAAATTGTAAGAATCTGCAGAAGCAACGTAGGTCAGATCATTGCTGTACACCAGTGCATCCCCGGTGACCTGTTAGAGAGACAAAGATCCCCCTGAGAAAGCTGTAGGAAATATAGCAGACTCACAGCTTGCAGGTTTAAAATATATATATACACATACCAGTCTCCTAAAGTTACAGTCAGTGAGATCCACATAGAAGTAGGCCTCTCCTGCTGAGAAGCTAGTTGGGAAACAGTTACCCAGACGGAGAAGCGACGTGTCGGCCTGGGGTCGGCTTTCTCTCCACATCAGCGTCACAAAATCTGGCCCACAGTCCACTTTCATGTCTGCAACACAAAGAAATTAAGTTTAGACTCAACTATTTGAGTCAATGATAATAACATGGCTTTAATTGTTTCCAGTCTTACCTGCATATACTGCCATGGCAGCTGCCAGGCTCAGAAGCAGTGCACCTTGACAAAATGAAACCATCATGACCGAATGCTTGCTACTGACACAGTGCATGTTCTTATACCTTGTTCCTGAGAGGCATTCATCAAGATAACGTCTTTCACCTGGTGCCTGTCAACAGTCCCAGCTGCAGCAGCTAGCACACTGATTACAGGCAAGAAATAGTTTTTTTTGAGAATTAAAAGGAGAGTCATTTCTAAACAAATGATCATTTGGGAGAAGGTAGTATTCCTTTATCAGATGTCCTGTCCTATTCAAATGTGTTATTTTTATATCTTTGACCTAATGGAAATTCAAGGTAAGGGAAAAGGGTAAATGTTTCAGTTAATTTAAGTTGTATTCAGTGTGAGAAAATATCCACACACGTGAATATTAGTTGTTTTGCTATGATGTCATCTTTTAACTGCATAAACACGTGCCATGCAGGCCATCCCTATTGATGTTATATTCATGGCCAGAAAGTAAACTATGCTACATTCAACTGCAGGCATGAGTGGCCTGAAAATAAATTCAGATCAGAATTGTCTTTTCAAATGAGGCTCAACATAAATAATTGCCATAGTTGTAATAGCAGACAGATCACCAATAGCTTTTAAATCTGGTGGTGTATGTAATGTCAGAATGTGTATCATGTGCAGAGCTCAATGTAAAATGGAAAGTGAAAGAAAGATTCAGGGGCTATACTCCAACTCACATGGCCATTAAAGGTTACATTATAATTGACAGTATCTTTCAATGACAAAAGTCACACAAAATTAGTAAAATTCTACTGATGGGACAGATGTACACAGTTGAGGACAGTAGGACCTTCATATGAAGTAAAGATACTCGTTTTATACTCAACAGGAGTTAACAACAGTTTTATTTATACAGAGATTATAGACAACTTTAATCTGCATATTGATGTCGTCCACCTGGGCCCTCTGTTCAGTTTCCCCAATCTTAGACTGGACTTCCTGTTGAGAAAATGTTTAGCAACGTTAGTCTTATGGCAGGTTTTGAACAAAACTTCAAGACAAATACCATACATAAATACTCATTAACCTTGGTCAGCAATGGAAACATCTGATGCATTGTGGGCATTTTGTTGCGATGGATCCATTATGATCAGGGGTCCCAACACATAAGTGTGCATGAAGCCGTTGGATTCTGAGGTGGAAGAAAACAATAATAACTTCATAATGAAAAGACTATATTAAAAAAAAGCATACAAGTTAGCATAAAAGCGATACCCCATTCGTCTCCTCTCTTGGAGCGAGTGTTGCAGGTCCTAGAACAGCAGTCACACATGGAGCTCTGCATGGGGTCATCCAGGAGTTCCCATCTGAGGAGGCAGCAATCGTTAAGGCTCAAATACATCAGCATGTCTTTACAACATTTTGTATGCACAGAAGAAAAAAGCAGATATAAAATGGTGTGATGTTTCTATAAAAAACTAAAACTGGTAAAATTATAAATATCAAGTTAATGACCAAAAGATATCTTTCCATCTACAGTGCAGAAAAAGGCTAATATTTTACAAAAGCTCAGGGCTTTTTTTATTTTATAAATCTCATTAGGTTGGCTAATCATTTGAGTGCCCCTCCTTTTAAAAACAAATATATTGTTATTCTCAAATATTTTACAATTATCATTCGTCACAATTGTTGTCTATACTTTGTTAGTTAGCAGGAGATCATTTGTTATAGATATATAAAAGCACAATACTGATCAAAGTACATGCATTGATCTACTTCAAGTTGGATATGTTAGGCTAAAATAAGCTAGCATCCTTGGCTAATGGTGCATACTTGTTGCACATGGCATCAGTTGCATTCATCATATTAAACTGCTGGCAAGAACATTTTCACATACTTCCAACATATCAAACTCTTCCCTTACTGTTCATTTTCCTTTACATAGTGGCAAGCTTTCTTGCTCTCACTTAGAACTTCAGGATCCCATGCGAGCAGTTGGCAGTGAATGTACACCTGAGGAGCACATGAAACATACATGTTTGCTAGGAACCAAATATTCTTTAGAGCACTTTACATTTACCCCCTCAAGGAGATGTATTGTGTGAAGAGAAATTGAAGATGTTGTTTAATTGTTGATATATTTATGATCCACGTCAAGTATTCAGTTTCGGCGGCATTTCTTCCAGTTTTTCCAAAGGTCTTCTCATCAGGGCTCTATAAATAAAGAACTACGGTAGATCTGTAATATGTAATGCAGCCAAACCGTGTATTACAATGGCGTTATGTGATGACTTTCAAAGAGAAAAGCAAGCAAACTCGGAATTAAGTATTATTTTATTCTTTTAAAATGTTTTTCCGATTTCATATAATATAAACACCAAATCCCAACATGCATTGCGGCTAAAACATCCAATCAGCGAGCTTAAACCATAGCTGAGGATTTTGGGTTTTTATTTTGAAATTCAGTTGCTGACGGATGCCAAAAAAGCCCGAGATTATGGAATTAAACAAATAAATAAAAACAAGGATAATTGTACGGAGCCCCCCTGGTGACATTGGTGAGAAAAATATTAATACGTGGCCATGTATTAATAATGCGTGGCCACGTATTTATAATGCGTGGCCACTAATTAGTTATTATGTTCCCACGCATTAGTAATTCGTGGGAACACAATAATTATTACGCAATAACTAAATCCAGATAGTCTATAGAAACGGATGACTGAGTCACAACAAGTCGAGTAAAGTTGGAACGATATTGGCAGATTCAGATTTCACGGATCAATAACTCGTGAACAAAACGTTGTTCGGACACAAATGATGTCTCCTAAGTACCGTGGTAAGGTTGACAAAGAACTACAATCACATTTTGATTAAAAAAAAAGCCAATACATGCTGTCCTCCAAACTGGAGACATTACATTGGTCTCTATCTGCAGCCGCAGAAGAAATGAGTGCTCAGGGACCGTCTGCAAAGTGCAACTCCAAAGAAAGAGAATACAATAATATTCAATCACTTCACTATTATACAGTATATTTCTACCAAACTCACTACACACATCAATAGTCTCATGTTGCTCATACTACAGCAGAGAGTTTGGAAGAATGTGCTTTTGAATACTTTTGGTGAATATTTATAATGTAAAATCTTCAATAAATATGGCATCATCTTCAATAACGTTACTATTATACAGTATACATATTCACCAAAATTATTCCAAACCATATTCTTCCAAACTCTCTGTAGTATGAGCAACAGAAGACTATTGATGTGTGTAATGAGTTTGGTAGTAATATACTGATGTTATAAAGAGTATATTTTCTTCAATAATGTTCTTTGTATGATACAAAATACCTATTGTTTTTGACAGTTTAGTCTGTACATAATTTATATGGTGCTTCCAATTGAGTTTTTCGTCAACAAGCAGTCCTAAAAATGTACATGCACCTTTTTCTATCTCTGTATTGCAAATCCGTATAATGCAGTCATTTCTACTCTCAGACTTTGTATTGAATAACATGTAATTTGTTTTGGCCACATTAAGGGATAATTTATTAACTGCAAACCAGTTACATAGTATTTTTAATTCTGCATTCACAATTTTAACAAGATCGCCAAGATTATGATGGGAGCAGAGAATTCAAAGTTCAGGTTCAGCCTCAATATATTTTGGGAGAATTAAAATGAGCCGTCTTTATTTGTAGACAGCCAAGCCCCCTCCTGTGTTCGCAGTGGCGTTTTTATATGTACAAAAGTGGTGGGGCACAAAAAACGTAGATGTCTATATATATATAAGCTTCTGCAGTGAGGTTCATGGCTGGTGAGGCACTGGCACTGACTCTTCAGGTTTACAAATATTATATTTTGACCTAAATCAAAATATAATATTATTTTCAAAAGCTTTTTTTGTCTGATGCTTCGATTAATTTTAAACAGACAGTTCAACAAAAGGACAACCAAAAAATGTAATTGTATCATTTAAATATTGAATTGTTCTCTCTTAGTAAGATCCCATTTTCAATAAAATTGCGGTCTTACCTTGACTTGAAGATGAAGTCCATTTGCCTATCCTTCTGGACAAAAATCTCTATTACTTTTTGTAAAAGTCCTCCTTATCTTCTTGTAGTTTCAAAAGACTATCATAAATCTAATCGATAGATTTATGATTAGAAAATTATAAAAGTAGGGTAGACATTTGGATATTATCCGGCTGAACAAAACGTGCATTTATCTAACAGCTACGTTTCCCACAGATCTTATTTTGAGCTATTTTCTAAAATCCTATGGAGAAATATCATTGCTTTTTTGTCGAGGGAAGCTAGGGAAGCCATGCGCAGCTTACTTCCTGGTTTTAGGATGCGTCTCTCTCCTCCTCTTCACACACCACACTTTTCGCGGCACACGTACTTACAGCCAATCAGCTCTGAATTATGTGAGATGACGTATGGTGGGGATGGCAGCTCAGTGACCCTATGGTCATTATTTTTTTTCCACACACATTAAATAGGACAATACTCTGAGCATGCGCAGTGTAGTTTTTATAGTCACCGTTCACTTAGACAGTGAGAGGGAGGGGCATGAACGGGTTTTGTCCCACATGGCTCTAAACAGCTCAATAGGCACACACTGTAGACACTAATTAGAAGAACACAGACTAAAACAGCAATGTACAGACGAATCAGATGATTAACCATGATCTTAAAATATATTTTATATATTTTGTTATTTATTTTTTTGTAATCATTAATTTTGTAATACTTTCTGCTGACACTAGGTGGGGCTGTGCCCCACCTGCCCCTAATGACCAGTCACCACTGTGTGTTCGGTGAAGCATTATATGCTTACAAATCCAATGTAGGATATAAACACGACTAAACTGCAATGATAGCAAAGCTGTGGCTTGGGTTTTTGGGGTAATAAAGTCCAAATCATCGTTGGGCTAACAGCCCAACGATCACTCATTGGCTGGCAATTGTCAGCCACTTGGCTGACAATTGCTTGGTTTTCGTGAAATTAGCCTGTTTTCCTATTAAAGTGCAACAGATCGATGCATCTCCACAGATCATCTTAAAGCAGGGGTGGGGAACCTTTTTCCTCTCAAGGGCCATTTCAATTTTTTCAACATCCTCCGAGGGCCGTACAAATTATTGACGTCTGCTTAAAAATACTAAAATCACAGCCCATTCATTTGGCCTTTCTTTCATGCTGTGCAAAGAAAAAGCAACCTCTTAATCCAGATATTTTACCATGATTCGCGCATGCATGCACGTGCACAGTTGTGGCATGACCACCAAAACAGAAATATATGGACACAAGATGTGTGCAATTTAGTTTCCTATCCATGTGAACATGATTTAAGTGGGGGGGGGGACCTAACGTCCTCTAGGGGGGTCCGGGGGCATGTTCCCCCGGGAAGATTTTTTTTAAAATATTGAAGTTAAAAGCATAAATCTGGTACTCTTTGAGAGCAACATTAGTAGATCTATGGATACATCTCTCAACACCCATATGAAACAGAACTGGAAGCAGATTTTCTTTTTCTTTAAGGATATTTTACAAATCACTCCCCTTTCAAACTGTATTCTCGTTTATTAATAACAACTTTTTTTTACTGTCATATAGTATTTTATACCCGTTTACTTTATTCTCTTATTTTTTTATAACTATAATGATCATATAAAGATGTGCCTTTACGTCACTGGTTGGAGAAAAAGCTTCTTATATTCGTTAGCATAGCTAGCTAACCAGATGCTAATAACAACAAAGCTATTGACTGTATGATCAGTGTGACAGATGAACAGATCGCCACTGGGCTTTCAACTAAAGACACAGCCATGCAAAAACTGTGACATGTGTACGGCTCCTTATGGCTACTGACATTTGTGAAGTCCCGGCCCGGAGCGGCGTTCTGGTGCTCTGCTCTCCGGCAGCTCTAAACCCCTGTCGGACGAGACATATACCACGTGATGACACGTTAGGCTCGTGTTGTGTTCAAGGACCCTGACCTTGGCCAGGAAAAACAGGCACTCGCTTGTTTAATTATTTTGCGGTCTAGATTTCTTAATTTTTTTTCATTTTTGCGTGTGTTACCTCGAGGGCCGTATCAAATTGTCTCGCGGGCCGTAAACGGCCCGGGGGCCGGAGATTCCCCACCCCTGTCTTAAAAGCTTCGGAATCCCCCCCATTGTAGTTAAAAAAACTGTCAAAACTAGGGCCCCCAAACAGCATCTTGCATAGGGCCTCCAAAAAGCTAGAAACGGCCCTGCATATGTATAATATCAGTTAAAATAAGTGCTTAAACATACAGTAGTTAACATTGCAGGAAAGCAATATATTAGTACTAATATATTGCTTTCCTGCAATGTTAACTACTGTATGCAATGAGTGATCAGCAATAAGTTGATAAGGGCGTGGTGAGCTTTGATATTTTCGTCGGCAGTGAGGTGGGCCCTGAGCTTTTGTTGGTGGCCATGGAAACAAACGTGCAGATGGTTGGTCAGTGATAATTCACTTAAAATAAAGACCAACTGGAAATTCATGGGTGTAGTAACGTATTTTCCCCCCTTCAGCTTTACAAGAGAAGGTCAGTTGCCAAGGCGAGAACTTTTTATTTTCTTCTGTTGTTTCTTTGACTTCCTGCACTGAAATGAATTCAGTCATGCTTGCAATGTGGCTCCTTGGAGGGCAAAGTCAGTCGGCCCGACAATTTGTTAGAAACTGAAATATCCTCACAACTATTGGATCAATGTCCATTAAACTAGCTTCAGACATTCATGGAGCCCAGGGGATGAATCAAAAATGAGGATCCTCTGACTTTCTGAACTGTTTCATGGATTGCTCTGACATTTGGAATAAACATTCTTATGTTTTCCTCAGGATGAAATGTAACAATTTTCCTATGGCGTCTTCATCAGCCTAAAATTGTAATTAGTTCAAAACGACTTACTTTTCAGTCATTTTAAAATGACCTAAAAAAACACTTTTATTGTTAATGTGGTTGTATTCAATGCAACCACAGATGTGTATTGCAATTAACCTTTTGTATCAGTTTTGTATCAGTTGTAAGTTAGATACTAGATTTAACCATTTACACTGAACAGTTGTAAAGACTAGCATGACTGCATCACTAAATGCAGTAGAGAGCACCACCTGGTGATGAAAACTGAGCATCAGTGCAACATTGAAAGTCATTCGTAGGTCATAACGGCAGCTAAGCTGATTTGTGTGTGAAACGATAAACCCACAATAATTTAGGGGAGCACATCATGCTCTCAGCCCACAGCAATAAAAGAGAACATCAGTGTTTAAGATAAGAAAGACAAAGAAGCTGATGATCAATCCTTGATTACCACAGCAAAGATTTCCTTTTGCTGGATGAGGACATATTTATTATGTGTCACTGCATTTGGATGAAGGCATGTTGCAAGACTCATGCGCCCTTTCTTTTGCACGTTTCCTGTGGGGGTCTTAAGATATACCGTGTGAATTTGTCTCTTGTGGTGTGTAAGTGCACCATCAGCAGCTTGTTTGTTCTTTATAGTAAAGAACTTCATGTTCTCTGCATTGATATTACTGTAATTGTCTCATGCAGGAAGCGTTTCGGCGTTATGACAGACAACCTCAAGAGCAGCAAGAGAGAACAACACCAACATGCGCTGTCATGTTTACTGAAACATCAACATTTGTTTTATTTAGACACAGAGCTCACAGGACCTGAGAACAGAGAACTGAAACACAAATCTTTGATGCCATCAATGTGTGAAACGACAGAAGCTTCTGTAATGGGAACCTATTCTAACAGTAATACAAAAGTAAAAATAAGAAACAAAGAGATATGGATGTCTCAGAATAAAATGTCATTGGTTTTGGGTTTTCATGCCGTTATAATGACGAGGAAAAAAAGGGGCATACCTGAGCATCAAACTAATTATAACATATATCCATACGACTTGAGTTATAGTATATTTAAGCTTCTGATGCAGAGAGTGGTGCCTCTGTCCGGTTGGCGGATTGCTTTGGAAGTTTGCTTTTTTCACCTTAAGAAAATATAGCGCTTTTATATATAGATTTAGAAAAATCATTCAAAAAAACATATCATGTACATTTCTTCCTTCTACAGTAAGCAGGATAAAGTGAATGTAGCATAATATTAGCACATAAACAGACGTTAATGAACTGGGCTGGCTATATTTCAGACTTTTTCATTGTCTTCTTGATCCAGATGATTTGTTTTTTTGAGAGAAAAGAGTACACACCCGGGTATTGTGTTATGCCACGCTTATCAACCTTTCCAAAAGAAGTGACACCAACCAGGGCTCCATTGCACAACAGTGGGCCTCCTGAATCCCCCTGGAGAGATAATAAATATACAATATTGCATATTAAGACACATACATACGCATGAGTTAAGGGGTGACAGACAGTTTATTTCCTTTGCAAAAGAATCCAAATGCACTCACCCCACAGGTATCAGCCACCTCTTCCACGACTGAACCAGCACATATCTGGCCGCTGGTGATAACAGGCTTCCCGTTGTAATTCTTAGGAGAGTTGCACTTCTTTCTATCGATCACAGTCACATGGACAGACCTCAGGACATCTGAAGGAGTCGTGGCGGTGTTGTTTGTTTTTCCCCATCCAGCCACCAGACAGCTGGTGCCAGCTGCTGGATATTTGTTGGTGTCCCCCAACGGGAGACACTTCACCGTCTTGGTTCGCATCACCGGTTTGTCAAGCTGATATTATTAAAAAAGAGAAATTTGATGCTGACCAGCTGTATGTTGTCTTTGAGAAATGTAAGGTTTGTTGTGAAATGAATGCTCTTTGTCTTCATTGATGTTTTGTACCATTTCCCTATGTTGGTGTCATGCATAGATTGTACTTATAGCAGCTTATTAACACTTGAAATTGATGAAACTTTCACTAAATGTACTTCCTTCAAGTTATAATTATCAATCATCATTACAATCATAGTGGATGCCAGTTAATTTAACTCCATTCACTTTGACTTGATTTGGGACATTTAAAGAACATAAACAGATAACATTCTCTCCTGCGTTACCAAACCAAAAAGCGTATATTAACAAATATGTGCCTGAATCATCTTCAACTGTTTCATAGATTGCAGATTGTTGCACCTTTGCTTCAACTTGCTTACTTGTGTTTACAACTTACCTTGAGCAGCATGAGGTCATTGATCCTCTTTGTTGCATCATAGCTGGGATGAGGAAAACTCTTCACCTCGCGGACCTGCCTGGAATCTTTTTCCTTTCCTTTAATGGAGTGCACTCCCAGAATCACTTTCTTAATGCTGAGGGAGAAGAAAACAGATTTTACAATAAACATTAAATCAAATCAAGTTTTATTTATACAGCACATTTAAAAAATTGTTTTGGGTCGAGCCAAAGTGCTGTACATACAATAAAAACACTTTACAACAAATACAACAGCAAAAATAAAAAAATCACACACAGGGAAATGTCAGGAGTCGTGCTCCGCTCTGACTAGAAGGCCAGAGAGATTAAGTGAGTTGTAAGTGTAGATTTAAAAACCCCTAGGGGCAGGGGTGTCAAACTCGGGAGAGCTCGCAAAGAATATACACGGTTTATTATACGGTTAGAAACAGGGGTGCACATAACTTTTTTGCCCTGGTTCTCAAAGGAGCACCTGGAGATGTTGCTTGGTGCTCATCCTTAAAATGAAATAAACCGTAACTTTTGAGGGGTCTTGACTTTATTTGCCAGACACACGGCACTGAACACACATGCAGAGGTGAACACTGAACACACATGCAGAGGTGAACACAGAACACACATGCAGAGGTGAACACTGAACACACATGCAGAGGTGAACACAGAACACACATGCAGAGGTGAACACAAGACAACATTAGCACGACCAGTAATCCTACAAGCTGTCATCACTACCCTCCTGACTGTTCTCCTCACTGTCTTCCTCTCTGTCAGACATGGTAGCTGATGATGTAGGCCTACTTCTTTCTCTCTGGTTGAGTCTGCGATTTGCTGCTTGCATCCACAAGTCAACAGCTGGGTTTTGGGTCGAAAGTCTCTGTTGTGATCATCTTAGACAAGTGGATGCAATCAAATAAGTATGTGAACATAACCAATAACCTACCATAGCCAATAACAAATGAATGTAACTTATTTTATTTGTGTTGTTCATTCATATCTTATTTTACCTTAACATTTATTTATGCGTTTTTTTGTATCTCTCCAGTTTTAAAGGATATTTTTGGTTACTGTCCTATAGTATACATTGGAATGATTTCAAACCTGTTCATCCCAATAATTATAAAGGAGTGCCTTGGAAATATGTGTTTACATAAATTGCGACCAACCCGTTTGAACTTAGACTTTACCTCACTGAGCTGTAGTTATCAGTCTGGCTGGAGAGGACTCTCTATGGAGTCAGATTTGGGTCAATATTCTAGCACGTAAAACAAGCTACTCACGAGCGGAAAATGTGCTTTTACACGCGCATAAAATGACCCTCGCGCGCAGATTAAACCCCCGCGAGCGGCTCTGCGCCCGCGAGCGGCTCTGCGCTCGCGAGCGAGAGAGACAGCCCTCTTGCTCGCTCGCGGGAGTATCAGCCTCGCGGAGTCTGTCTACGCACGCGTGAAAAGTTTCTGGCACTTTGGGGCGGAGCCACTGGACTTTGATTGACAGCTGCCAGGAAACCCGGAGTTGCCAGGTTTGATAAATGCCTGAACTACCAAGAGCCGAGGAGTGACGGCAGCAAAATCAGTTGGACGAGATTGAATGGTAAAGTTGTCCATAAAAAACTATTATATTCGTAAAGTGTACAGCTAATATATATATATATATATATATATATATATATAAATTAATTTTATATAAAACAATATATTTTTGAGTGGGCTGTATCTGTCGAAAATTGCATATATATATATATATATATATAAATTAATTTGATATAAAACAATATATTTTTGAGTGGGCTGTATCTGTCAAAAATTGCTAGCTACTGTCTGCTGTACACTCTTAGAAGGGATGTGTCAAAAATGACACAACATGTGTTGAATTTCAACTACAGAGTGTGCTCAGGGACAACACGTGTTGTGTTTATTTATGTGTAAATAATTTTTACACACAAAATGTGTTACATGCCCCAAACACACAATGTGCACATTTTACACATTGTGTGTCATAAATGTGTAACCAAGATGAACACATTTGTTATTTCTGCACATTTTGTGTTATATTTCTTTAACCAGAATTAACATTTGATTGTGTTATATCTGCACATTGTGTGTCAATGACGATTACTGGAAGTACCAGGTGGTGGATATGGTTTTTATTAAAAAAATCGAATGCAAGAATACATTCATTGGACATTTATTTACAAGGATTTCATTAGCACAATATGTCATTAAGAAAATAATTGTTAACATTTAAAAATATTAATATTTTTCTAATTCATCAAATGTTGACAGACTAGATAATTCATAAAATCACACCTAAAAAAACCTTATACCTTGGTTAAAACAAACTTAATCTTCAGCAAACTATTGTTGTAAATGACTTTCAGCTGAGGGAATATAGTGATGAGATTCTTCACAAGGACCACCTTTTCAGTGTTGGATGGATAATTAAGGATACAAATGAATGACAAGTGAGCTATTTATTTTTCAAAAAGAATACAACAGTTCTAGCATACAAATATTACAAATGCGTGATAATAAAGCAATTGGTTATAAAGAATGTCCTTTTGTATCAAGCAAATTTGTATAACCAATTATATTTATATATATATATATATATATATATATATATATATATATATATATATATATATATATGCAATTTTCGACAGATACAGCCCACTCAAAAATATATTGTTTTATATAAAATTAATTTATATATATATATATATATATATTAGATGTACACTTTACGAATATAATAGTTTTTTATGGACAACTTTACCATTCAATCTCGTCCAACTGATTTTGCTGCCGTCACTCCTCGGCTCTTGGTAGTTCAGGCATTTATCAAACCTGGCAACTCCGGGATTCCTGGCAGCTGTCAATCAAAGTCCAGTGGCTCCGCCCCAAAGTGCCAGAAACTTTTCACGCGCGCGTAGACAGACTCCGCGAGGCTGATACTCCCGCGAGCGAGCAAGAGGGCTGTCTCTCTCGCGAGCGAGCGCAGAGCCGCTCGCGGGGGTTTAATCTGCGCGCGAGGGTCATTTTATGCGCGTGTAAAAGCACATTTTCCGCTCGTGAGTAGCTTGTTTTACGTGCTAGAATATTGACCCAAATCTGACTCCATACTATCCCTCCACATTATTGTAGAAACATCTTCTTCTTATATCCGTTAGAGCAGCTAGCACGGCACCAGATTCTAATAACAACAGCGCTGGCCTGGTACCGGTGCACCCTCCCTCGCTCACTCGCATTTTGGCTGTGAGCTGCGGGCGCCAGATAAGCCAACATCCCCCATTTTCATCACTTACAGCGCCCATCGTACAGGGCAAATGAAACGTGTAACCGGGGTGAAAAGGGTGTTACATTTACTTAATTATGAATATTGTTACATCAAGGCCGAAAATTGAGCCCCAACGGTCAAAATGTTTGTTTCCCTCCCAGAACTGCCAGCGCAGCGCCTCCACAGATCTGGCGCCCTAGGCGAACATCTAGCCAGCGCTACGGGCCGACCCTGAGTTCATATCATGGTTCATACATGTATGCAACTCGCAAATATCTTTCTCTCTCTCTCTCTTCTCTCTCTCTCTCATCTCTCCTCTCTCCTCTATTTTCTATTTTCTCTTCTCCCTTCTCTCGCTCCCTCTCCCTCTCTCAATGTTGGTACGCAAATGCGCTTTGTTTCAAATGACCCGGTGCTCTTTTTTTGGCGGAGGTGCGCATGCGCACCTGCGCACCAGTTATGTGCAGCCCTGGTTATATATGCCATTTAAGCACGTTGCCCATAAACTACATGTCCCAAAATGCATTTCGTTTTGTGCCGTGCGCACTGAAGCGACTTCCTATCAGCAGCGGCACTCTAGTGAGGTGGTGAGTGACCAGTGTGTGACTGTGAGTGACACAGAGCTGAAGGAACATAATTTACAACGGCACAGAGACACCAAACACGGAGCAAAGTCTGCTTCAGCAACCGAGACAAGCAATTCCAGTCCCAGAACAAACAGACAGAATGATCCGCTCTTTAAGAATCAGTCGGTGTCGCTGCGGCTCAGAGACAGACATGGATTTATTATGTTTTAGAAACCGCGTTACGGTTATTTCCGGTTTCTGGTTGATTAAAATATATGAGGTCTTGGCTTGCAGAGTATGAACGTCTTTTTGCTATATTCAGACGATAAATACTTATAAATACTTGTGTAAAGTTTGTAAAGGAAGGAGGAAAACTTCCGCGATCCCTGTCCCCTCTCACTCTGTTCCTCCTCAACACGCCCCCCCCCCCACTCACTGCTTACTGAAATAGTGAGTGACAGGTGGTAGTAACACAGCAGGATCTGGGACAGGGGAAAGTCTTGGCTTTCAGACTATTACAATATTATTGCTGAATTCAAATGAAATAATAGCCTACCTAAATAATGCTTGATATACCAAAACAAAATACTTTATTATTCACAGAAAATATATTACACAAACATTGTATCTCTTTATGATAAGATATGATGAGGCTAACTACATTTCCTAAATTCATGGGATTTATGTAACAGTAAGAGAGTGAAATGTTACAGCCCACATACAGTATTTCTGTGTCTATGTGCACAATACATCGATGCACAACCATGTGCTTTCAGACGTAGTTATTGCCAAAACCAATAATACTCCAATGCAGAGGCAATAGTTATATAAAACATTATTTTATATATTTATATATGTATATTTATATAGTGTTGAAGTTACAACCGGCCCTTTGAGGGCAACCATAATGCTAATGTGGCCCGCGATGAAATTGAGTTTGACACCCCTGCGCCTAGGGTCTGGGCCGACCTCACATGGAGGGGCAGAGTGTTCCAGAGCCTATGGCCAGCCGCTGCGAAGGCTCGGAGCCCTCGGGTTTTGAGCTGGTTTTGAGCCTGCAGGCACTATCAGCAGCAGCTGGTCAGCAGACCTTAGCTCTGGCTGGGGTGTAGCGCTGGAGGAGCTCTGCTAAAATAAGTCGGAGCCAGCCCATTTAGGGCTTTGAAAACAAATAAAAGGAGTTTAAAATCAATTCGGACCCGAATTGGAAGCCAGAGGAGGCCAGAATTGGGGTGATGTGGTCACGCTTTGTATGGCCAGTGAGAAGATGTAAAAATCGTCTCTTCAAAATGTTTTTTATCTTCAGTAGCGTTAAATTCATACAGGCAGAATTTCGCTTTTATAAATCTGATTTGTATCCAATACCATGAATAGTATTTCAGGTTAACTTTACTTTTTTACCAAAGTGCAAAATCATTTCTTCATTGAGATGAAAATAATCCTAATATTATATAAAACATTTATCACCAGTATAGTTTATACATTAGTTTTAGTGCATAGGAATGTTTGTATCATGCCCTTACTTTTTGCAGTGGGCAGCAGTCAGGACCCATTTTGGATGGATCAGGATCCCTCCACAGTACGTAGGCCGCATCAGAGCCATGAAAGGCAGCGAGTGGGGAGCCACTTCTTTCCCACCAATAATCTCAGAACCATGACCTTAAACAGAACAATAATTCAATAATAACAGTTCAATAATTTTGAAAAAAGTATAGAAATGAATCAATAAATGGTAAACCAAATAAATTGTAACACTCTGCCTCAGCTGCATTCTGCATGCTTACATGAGTGAGGTAGATATCACAAAGTAAATGAAATACAAATTACTCACATGATTGGACAATGAGGAGGACCGCACAAGAGATCAAAACAATGAAATCCATTGGGCACAACATTTTTCTTATCTCTCTCTGATGTGACGCTGAATGCTCTTCAACATTATCTTGAACATTGGTATTTATGTGTTGCAGTTGAAGGATGTGGTCTGACAGTGGAAATGCACGAGTCAGCAGAATGGACGTAAGCAAGACATGAGAATTGGTGTGTTCGGTCTTCATTTAGAAGCAATGTGGTAACAGTTTTGTCATTTCCCACTCATCATTAGCATTTGACAGTCTGTGTGGTGGAGGCTTTTTATTTACGTGAAGCAGGTCACATCATCAGGGTGATGTTCACGATGTGGGACCACCGCATCAGCTAAAACTGGAGGCTGTTGTCAAGCGTTTCAGCTGCAGTGATGAGTGTGTGTTAAAAATGATTCAAAGGACTTCATGAGAAAGTGGAATATTGTCTAAAGTGACACTATGGTAAAGACACGTGATCAATAAGACCTAACTCAGAGGAAGAGTTAACTATAAAGAGAGATGGATGCTTATTTTATGCAACCTTAAAGCATAATTCAATAATTCACTTAATGTCTTTCTTGTCGAGTTAGATGAGAATACAGAAGCCCTTTTTGTATCTAAATTAAATACGGTAAGCTATCTACAGCTGGTTAGTTAGCACTTAACTACCAGACTAGACTAGACATATACTGTATCCTGGCTTTGTCTAAAGGTAACAAAGTCCATTTTCCAGTACCTCTAAAGCGCAATAACATTACATCTCATTTATTTAATCAGTACACATATTTAAAGGTCACCTTTCTTGCTATTTTTAGGCAATAGCATAGGTCTCAGATATAAAAATATAAAAAACATGTCTGTGAAGTGTTTTGCTCAAAATACCAAACAGATCACCCATTCTAGCCATGCCTCATATCCCTCTATTTACTTCCTGTTTCAAAAGTGCTGATTTGCGGTATAAAGCTTTAAAAATAAAAAAGGAGGGGGCTGAGCTCATGCGGGACCCGGCAGCTACTGTCTAAACCAGGGGTGGGGAACCTTTTTCCTCTCAAGGGCCATTTCAATTTTTACAATATCCTCAGAGGGCCGTACAAATTATTGACCTCTGCTTAAAAAAACTAAAATCACAGCCCATTCATTTCATTCTGTGCAAAGAAAAAGCAACCTCTTAATCCAGATATCTCACCATGACTCGCGCATGCATGCACGTGCACGGTGTGGCGTGACCACCAAAACAGAAAGATATGGACACAAGATGTGTGCAAATGTATTTAGTTTCCTATCCATGTGAACATGATTTAAGTGGGGGGGGGGGGGGGGACCTAACCTTTTCTAGGGGGTCCGGGGGGCATGCTCCCCCGGGATGATTTTTTAAAATTATTTTAAAGTTAAAAGCATCAATCTGGTGCACTTTGAGAGCAAAATTAGGAGCTCTATGGGTACATCTCTCAACATCCATATGAAACAGAACTGGAAGCAGATATACTTTTCTTTATGGATATTTTACAAATCACTCCCTTCAAACAGTATTCTTCTTTATTAATAACAACTTTTTTTTACTGTCATATAGTATTTTATACAGTAAACCATTACTTTATTCTCTTATTTTTTTATAACTATAATGATCATATAAAGATGTGCCTTTACCTCACTGGTTGTAGAAAAAGCGTCTTAAATTCGTTAGCATAGCTAGCTAACCAGATGCTAATAACAACAAAGTTATTGACTGTATGATCAGAATGACAGATGATCAGATCGCCACTGGGCTTTCAACTAAAGACACAGACACGCAGAAACTGCGGCATGTGTACGGCTCCTTATGGGTACTGCAATTTCTGAAGTGCTGGAGTGGCGTTCTGGTGCTCTCCGTCAGAACTGCAGTCGAGACATATACCACGTGATGACACGTTAGGCTCGTGTTGTGTTCAAGGACCCTGACCTTGGCCAGGAAAAACAGGAACTCGCTTGTTTAATTTTTTTGCGGTTTAGACTTCTTACATTTTTTTTCTTTTTTGCGTGTGTTTATAAATTACCTCGAGGGCCGTACCAAATTCTCTCGCGGGCCGTATACGGAGGCCGGAGGTTCCCCACCCTACGGCCCGTGGTGTGGCTGGCTCGGGTTCCCTCCTTCTGTTTGTTCCTTTTGGCCAGTCCTCCAGACCTCTTTTTGTTTCCCGTTTCAATAAATGCTTGTTACCAAGTACCGGTTATTGCGTGTATTCTTTCATGTTCCTGGTCTCAGCACGAGCCACTACCGCAGAGTAGAGGTTGGGGCCGTAACAACATGTCCAAGACACTGTGAAATGTACTTTGCACTTCAATGGAGTAATAAAAAGCAATCAGATATATTGCTGCTTGCACAGATTTCCTGTTTTCCAGTTTAAAACCTTCTCCTCGCACTCAAGGCCCCTACACACGGCGGCGTGCGTTGTCGCTTGCAGTGAGCATGTCTGAAGCTAGACCAATAACCAATCACCTGAATCTCCCGCCCCAGACACACAAGCAGCGGTTTGATTGGCTAGAGCTTGTACTGGCATATGATTCGATTGGCTGACGCTTCCATCGAAGCGTCAAAAGTAGAACATTTCTCTATTTTTGCAGCGAGCACCGCGAGAAAAGCTACGCGTTGCTCCCACAATGCAGTTTGGCGAGGCGTGACGTCACCCCATTCAAATAGAATGGGCAGAAGCGTTGAAGCGGCAACGCACGCCGCCGTGTGTAGGGGCTGTCAGGCTGCTTCTGTGCGCTGACTGCGCTCGTCAAATGTCTGCTCCCAGATTTCTGCTCTGCGTTTGGATTTTTTCTGTGCAAAAACCATTTAAAAATCCCTCAACCAATAGGAGGCAGGTGAAGTGTCATCTTGTTCGCTCTACTCATGAGCGTCCCGTAAGGGCGGTTACTCTTTAACCAGGTTTATAAACTCCCTCCACGGCTTCATTAAATGTAGCCTACTTCACTTGCTTTATTTACGACTTTTTATTTTAATGGTACTGTAGCGTCTCACTACAGGAACACAGGCAGGCTTGGTTTGTCCTTTATCCGGGAGTTTATTGTACAGATCACAGGTTACTGTTGGCCCTAACCACGCCAAAACAATCCACTAACCCTGTCGTATTCTCACTCTCCGTCACATACCCCACTAGCTCTCTCCTAGCATTGACTGCGTAGTCCGATGCGTCGGTGGTAATGGAAATGGGGGCCGTGGGTGTAGGATGCGCCAACAGCCAGTGTGGTCTTGACCTCCTTGAAAGCAACCTCAGCCTCCGCCGTCCAGCTGATCTCCTGGAGGGGGGCCTTACCCTTCAATGCCTCGAACATTGGCCGCATAATTTGGGCAGCCCGGGCGATGAAACGGTGGTAAAAGGTCACCATCCCGAGGCACAGACAATCGGGCCGTGTGCGGGCTGTTTAGAACAATTCAGTCTTGATATTGAAGAGTATGATACTTACGGAACCCCCATACTCGTGTCCGAAATAAAGAAAAACAGAAAATCTGATTATACATGCTGGAGGAACAGAGGTGACGACACAATCTGGTGTTAAATAATTTAAGGCTAATAATTTCGGGATTACAAAGAAAAGGTACCTATTTTAGAAAGATTTTTAAAGATTGAACTTTCTTTGTATGTGACTACACCTTGGGTATCACCTTGGGCACATATAAATATGGCCTTAAATCATGGTTCAGAGACTGCAGGAGGATGCCGTGGTTGGTCTTCAGGATTCCTCCGATACGGTTGAGCTGCAGAAAAAGGAAATCAAAGTCAAAGTCAACTTTATTGTCAATTCCTCTGTGTGTGTGATACAGACAGGGAGATCTGAATGCATGCATATACAGTACTGTGCAAAGGTTTTAGGCAGGTGTGGAAAACATGCTGGAAACAAATAATGCTTTAAGTAGGTGACATTTTATGAGCAGTTTCCAAAAATGGCGTTACTTGACTTTATTCTGTGTTCGAGCAACAAGAATGCACAATCTTAATCGCATGGTAACAGTTGTGTTTTTCCTAAACTTGTGTTAGGGTTAGGGGATACATCAGGTTAAAATCTGCAGGCTTACTGATTATGAAGAATACAAACTATGTTTATGATATAACATAATTTAATAAAATGCAAAAGGCCACATCCTTAACATTTTTCTATTTAATCAAAAACTGCAAAACGTCTGGTCATTACAATCTTTGAAATGAATACCAAACAGTTTGCACTGGATATGCATTGATAGTTTCTGCTAGTTTCTTCTCAAATTGCAAATTGCTTTATCTTAGTATGTGTTGCAGACTGCATTTGCAATATGTCGTAGATGTTAAGTGATGTTTGAGTTGACATATTTTGATATAAGAATGTCCTTTTTATGTTAGATATCATCATCATCACTGTCATTTAAACACATGTAAACGCACTGTGCTCAATGCACCAGGCGATGGTGCCAGACAGGCTGTTAGTGTGTTTTTCACCTCCTGCTCTCTTTTCTCTTATCCTCTTTGTCCAGTCCAGTTGATACGCATCATGTCTGTTCCTGCCGGTGCCGACTAGACTGGACGATCATTGAGGAGGCACACCTGGAAGAGTTCTGTCTCTCCATGGATCATGATCTGTTGCTGACTACAGAGCTTAAGTGAAGTCAGCAGCTCCCAGTACGACTGGAAAATGTTATAGATGCCATTGCTCCCACCAGGGTAAAGGAAGTGTCTGGCAAGAAAATATCTCCATGCAGAAAGGCCATGACCTGCTAAATGCAGGTGGCGAAAAACAAATCTCCATTTTGAAATCTATAAAGAGACACTTGGCATTTATAATTTGGAATTGAAAAATGCATAAAAGTCTTTCTTCTCTGACATCATTGCCAAAAACAAAAACAACGCACGTGCCTTGTTTGCTACCGTTGACAGACTAACAAACCCCCCAGTGTCAGTAGCCTCTGAATTTATCCACCAGGGCGTGCAATGATTTTGCCTTCTTCACTGAAACATTCAGAAAATCAGACAAGCAGTCAGTGCCTCTGCATCAGGTATAGCATATGTGTTGTCTCTGTGTTCACTTCAAATCAATTCAAACACCATGACACAATTCCATCATTAATGATAAAAACCTAGAGGACATTATACAACTTCTGAAATCCTCCTCCTGCTGCCTTGATATTATTCCAACAGGATTTTTCAAAAATGTTTTTCATCAAATAGTAAACAAATTTGTTCACTAAAAAATCTATTAGGAAGCTGCAGCTGATTCAGAACGCCGCTGCTCGAGTCCTCACTGACACTAAGAAAGTGGATCACATCACTCCTGTTCTGAAGTCTTTACACTGGCTTCCTGTGTGTCAAAGAATAGATTTCAAAATACTGCTGCTGGTTTATAAAGCACTGAATGGTTTAGGCCCAAAATACATTTCTGACCTCCTGCTAAATGATGAACCATCCAGATCTCTCAGGTCTTCAGGGACTGGTCAGCTTTCTGTCCCCAGAGTCAGAACTAAACATGGAGAAGCAGCGTTCAGTTATTATGCTCCAAATATCTGGAACAAACTCCCAGAAACCTGCAGGTCCGCTGCAACTCTGACTACTTTTAAATCCAGGCTGAAGAATTTTCTTTTTGTCGCTGCTTTTAATTGAACTATTCACATCTTAGACTGCACTGTAACTTTTATTCATGTTGTATTATATTTGCTTTTAAATTAATGTTTTAAAATGCCATTTAATACATTATTTCTTAATGCTCTTAAAGGTCTCCTATTTTACTGTTTTTCATCAATAAATTATACAGAACATGTCTCTTAAGTGATTGGCTCCAAACACCAAACAGATCATTGCAGCATTACCCATAATCCCCTCTGTTTCAGCCCTGTTTCCAAAGTGCTGATTCTCCGTCTGTTACTTTAGATGAAAATAAGGAGCCCCTCCCCACGCCCCTCTGAGAGACATTTGGTTACAAAGAACTCAATGGTGCTCTAGGAGGAGATTCAGGTGATAAGGGGGGGGGGGGGGGGGGTTACCTTGGTTGCTGATTGGCTAATGGTTACACAAGACAACACATCGTTATGACATCATAAAGTGGCCAAAATCTGATAAGCTCATTTTCAGACAGGTTTTTATAGAAATGGATCAAAAAGAGAGAGAATCTTTGTTCCTGAAACTTTCAGAGTCTCTTTCCACAGAGGGGACACATGTTGATGTAGAAGAGACATGAAGAAGAGGGGACACATGTTGATGTAGAAGAGACATGAAGAAGAGGGGACACATGTTGATGTAGAAGAGACATGAAGAAGAGGGGACACATGTTGATGTAGAAGAGACATGAAGAAGAGGGGACACATGTTGATGTAGAAGAGACATGAAGAAGAGGGGACACATGTTGATGTAGAAGAGACATTGAGAAGAGGGGACACATGTTGATGTAGAAGAGACATGAAGAAGAGGGGACATATGTTGATGTAGAAGAGACATGAAGAAGAGGGGACACATGTTGATGTAGAAGAGACATGAAGAAGAGGGGACACGTGTTGATGTAGAAGAGACATGAAGAAGAGGGGACATATGTTGATGTAGAAGAGACATGAAGAAGAGGGGACACATGTTGATGTAGAAGAGACATGAAGAAGAGGGGACACATGTTGGTGAAGAAGAGACATGAAGAAGAGGGGACACATGTTGATGTAGAAGAGACATGAAGAAGAGGGGACACATGTTGGTGAAGAAGAGACATGAAGAAGAGGGGACACATGTTGATGTAGAAGAGACATGAAGAAGAGGGGACACATGTTGATGTAGAAGAGACATGAAGAAGAGGGGACACATGTTAGTGAAGAAGAGACATGAAGAAGAGGGGACACATGTTGATGTAGAAGAGACATGAAGAAGAGGGGACAAATGTTGATGTAGAAGAGACATGAAGAAGAGGGGACACATGTTGATGTAGAAGGACTTTGAATTGTTTTGTGTTGAAAAGTTTTGTGTTACTTCTTCCTTCTCTCTGTCTGTACCTGTGTACTCTCATGTTCTGATTAACCCAGCTTCCCCAAATGTCTTTCTTTTTGGTGTCTGTATACGCCGGGATCCGGAGTCATGGATGATCCTGCGCTCCTCTGTCCTGGATCTTGAGTCGTGGCTGTGGTCCTGGATCATAGGTCCTGGATGGATATCCTCGTGGATTCATCTTCCTATTATACACACATGCATTTCCAAACATTTGGACTACCTATGTTGCAAATGTATTATCTTTTCAATTTACACACGGCATCTATTGCACGTCTGTCCGTCCTGGGAGAGGGATCCCTCCTCTGTTGCTCTCCCTGAGGTTTCTCCCATTTTTCCCTTTAAACTGTGGGTTTTTTTCGGAAGTTTTTCCTTGTACGATGTGAGGGTCTAAGGACAGAGGGTGTCATATTGTCATACTGATATTTTGTACAAACTGTAAAGTCCACTGAGACAAATGTAACATTTGTGATATTGGGCTATATAAATAAACATTGATTGATTGATTGATTGAAAAGTGCTATACCAAACTTGGTAACTCTTTATATTAAGGTACACAAATTCACCATCAACTAGGTTTCTTTTTCAGAAACAAGTCCTGTTTCTCTCTTGAGGCCAGGAAAAGGCTCTGTGACCTTTTGACCTGTGCTGGACTATGGTGATTTGTTGTATATGAATGCACCTGCCTATTGCCTGAACAAGTTAGATGCCGCCTATCACAGCGCACTGAGATTTGTCACAAATGGTAAAGCACTTACTCATCACTGTACCCTGTATGCCAAGGCAGGTCTGTCATCACTTACTGTAAAGAGGCTCAGTCATTGGTACATGTTTATCTTATAAAGCTTTGTTGGGTAAACTCCCGTATTACATCTGCTCTCTGATAACACAGAGAGTTGCAAGCAGCTATTGTCTGAGATCGCATGATGTAGTATTATTAGATGTGCCAAGAGCAAGCACTGTCTTAGGTAAGACAGCTTTTATGTGCGCAGCTCCACTTGCTTGGAACAATCTTCAGCAAGAATAGAAACTGAGCAATCTCATTCCTCTGCATGTTTTTAAAGCATGTCTAAGTTAAATGCTCTTTGAAACTGGGTACTTGTAAATGTCGATAAGTATGTAAATGTATCCTGTAAATATGTTGAATGATGTCCTTTATTGTTTTATGTTGTTTTATGTTTTATGTGGAACCTATTTGCTGCAGGTCTCCCTTAACATGCATATTAGCAGTATATTGGCTCTTAATTAGACAGTATTAAACACGTATTAATGCCTTATTCTACATGAACATATTTTACAAGTAATAAGCCATTAGTTGAGAGTTTTTCCTCAATAACCCTCTAGTTAGTGCTTATTTATTGCAAGTAAGGAAGTTGTTGTCCATGAGTTTTGGTCTTAATACACTCTGCTCAATATGGGCCTAATAAGGCAGTAGTACCACAATAATAGTAATTCTCCCATAATAACACTTAACAAATATGATCTATTCTTATGTAACAATACATGAAACTATAAGTGTTAATTGTGTCTAAATAACTCAAAATTAGGTATTTATATCCAAAAACATGTTCCCTATTTTAAAGTGAAGTCTTGTTCATAACCAATAAGCTAGTAGTTTGACTCGAATTGACCAGAACAGGTTCCCTATTCTGAAGTTGCCTTCTCTTCACACTTTGTAAATACATTATAGCACACAACTACTGAAATTAACCTCAACAGTAACAAAGTAGGCACACGTTGAAATATATGTTTTATTAATGAACCACTAAAGAGAGGTTCAGACACAAGTGTTTTATAATGACTAATAAAGAGCCAATATACTGTTAATATGCATATTAATTAAGAACTAGTTGAAGGTGAATTTGTGTACTTTAATATAAAGTGCTACCATAAACTTGCTTTGCCTTGCCTGGCAGAACTGGTTTATCAATCTGATCTCTGGGGGAAAGGGCGTGGAGGCGAGGGACGACTGAAGCTGAGAAAAACAGATCTGGAAGAGAAAAACAAATATTTCATTCAAATATTGTATTCCAAAAGATTGCTGAAGTGAAACTTGAACAAATGTGTTCATTAAAACACATTTGCCCATTTGTTATCATTGTTTCTGCCATTGTTTGCGCTGCCGTTAACACTGATGCCATAATGTGGTTTATTTCGGCTTCTGGTGGTGGATCTTACACATCATATGTTTTACAACACTGTACTTTTTGACATCTGAGTGATCACGAAACACACACTGCATAGGGAGACTTTGTGTACCATTAGTACGGGTGGCCCCTTCTAAGAAAACTAAAAGATTAACTCATGGCATGATTTACAGCACTTTATTATATATCCACGTTTCCCTCTACACTACGATCATACCATATCTCAATCAATCATCAATCAATGTTTATTTATATAGCCCAATATCACAAAAGTTACATTTGTCTCAGTGGTCTTCACAGTGTGTACAGAATATCAGTATGACAATACGACACCCTCTGTCCTTAGACCCTCACATCGTACAAGGAAAAACTTCCAGAGAAAACCCACAGTTTAAAGGGAACATGGGAGAAACCTCAGGGAGAGCAACAGAGGAGGGATCCCTCTCCCAGGACGGACAGACGTGCAATAGATGCCGTGTGTAAATCTGATAGTGTTGAAGCAAAGATGGATAAAAACAACTATGTAAGACACAAGGAAACAGACATTGGAGGAAATGGTGATTGCAATGCTATCACTGTAAAGTCTTGTTCTGACAGAAGACTTTACAGCGTCTCTGCTTGTAAAAACGAACAGGAAATGCTTTTTTTGCGGGTATAAATAAATGTGCAGCTGCAGAACTGTGATCATTGTCAGTTGATGCCAGCCGCACATCAAAGATGCAGAGCCTTATAACAAAAATCGCCACTGAGAAGCTGAGCACCTACGCTGCGGTCATATCTATCTTCACCTACACTATTTTGCTCAACAGGGATTTAGCCTGCACCTGCGAACCACAAGCCTCGAACTGCAACCTGTACATGCTTCTGCCACCCGTTATCATTCTTTTATTAATACTTTTGTTGGACAGCTCGTTCCAAAGCGTCTGTAGATACTATTCCTCACATTGTAGATGCCCCTGCGGTCTTTGCTGTTTTTATGCCCATCATTTTTTAAGGGCATTTTTAGTCGGCTTGCTGTGGGTTGCTTTTTTGTTCCTCGATGGAGACTGGTATGTTTGCTGTCAGAATGACGGCTCTGAACAACAGGCAACGTTAGCCTGCAAAGCTGAGAAGGATATCAAAGTCAACGAGAAAGTTCTTAAATCTGAACTGAAGAACACATCCCGGGTGAGTGCTTCCTCTCTGGATCTACTTTATCAGCATCAGTTCTATCTGAAGTAATATGGAATGCCGTTCAAGCCAAAATTAAATAAATAAATACATATATAAATAAATAAATATGCCTATGAAATAAATTCTGAAATAAACAAATGAGGCAATAAATAGATATAAATGTAAATTTAAATACACATTTATTTATTTCATGGGACTTTTATTTCAATAAAATCAGAATTTATTTCAGGCATATTTATTTAATTGTTTATTTATTTAATGTTTGGCTTAAACGGCATTCCATAATGTAATGCTGTTGTATTATAACCATCTTTCTTTCTTTCTTTCTTTAGTTTATCGGTGGCTGGATTCTATTGGGAATTGTTTGCGTGGCTTTCGTCTTGCCATTCTGTGTAAGATTGAAAGGCTGTGGGAAAGAAAAACGTTGTTCCAACAAAACATTTCTGTATGAAAAACAGATTATAATAGAAGAGGGCAATGTGCTGGAAAAGCTTCTGAGTAATTCAGCAAAAGAGAAGTTGACTGAAGGAATTAAGAAAAACATCTGTGATAAAGATTGGGAAGGGTGTTTCGGTGCTGCTGGAAAGCTGCTTGATCCACCAAAGCAAGAGGGAGGAGAAACAGAGCGCCAGGTAAAGAAAAATAAATAGTTTTAACATTTTAGAGGGAGGACTCTGCTTTGTAGTTTCCTACATACAGAGCCCAAGCTGTTAAAAGTAGTTATATGGTGAAGCAGTTTATGAAGAATGCAAACATTTTTTTAAATAACATGCGACATGCTTAAAAATGTTCTATTAAATCAGCAACTGCAAAACGTCTGGTTGTTAGCAAGTCGCTGTATATGTTTATGGTAGACTGGATTTTTAAACCTATTTTGATATTAGGCTCAAAACCCAAGGGGACCGAGCCTTCACAGCAGCTGGCCCTAGGCTCTGGAACCGTCTGCTCCTACATGTGAGGTCGGCCCAGACACTAGGGCTTTTTAAATCCTCACTGAAGACACACTTCTTCTCTCTGGCCTTCTAGTCAGAGCGGAGTACGACATCTGACATTTCCCTGTGTTTTGTTTTTATATTTCTGTTGTAAATTATTGTCTTTTCTTTTAATTGTAGTTAAGTGTTTTTATTACAGTACATGTAGGCCTACAGCACTTTGGCTTGACCAAAAATAGTTTTTAAATGTGCTCTATAAATAAAACTTAATTTGATTAGAATGTCCTTTTCATGTTAAAAATCATCATCACTTTTATTTAAATAAATGTAAAGCTCTGTGCTCAATGTGACAGGCGTTGGTGCCAGACAGGCTGTTTGTTTTTTTCACCTCCTGCTCTATTTTCTCTTAGATTAGGGGTACAGTCCATATGTCCTTGCTCCCTGTATGTACAGGCTGATTGAGGAGGCACACCCTGAAGAGATCTGTCTCTCCATGGATCATGATCTGATGATGACTGCAGAGCTGAAGTGTACCTTGTTTATAATGTCAACTGCAAAATGTGTTATGTGAGGTTTAGGACTTTAGGTGGTACATCTCTTCATCACGTAGTTCAGCTTTATTGGTCTTTGCCAATTGACTTTATTTGTCAATATGACAACATTTGTTTAGCTTTTACTTAGAGATAATGTATATTAAGGAATTAAGAATGTTTTACAAAAACTTGCTTGATAATGATCTGATGCAAAAAATGTGTTTATGTTTTAATAAAATAATAAGTATATGTTTTGATTGAGTTCAGTAAACTTTCTATTTAAACATTTTGTTTTTGTGTCCTTTGTGAATTTTCTTTTTTTGTATGTAATTAAAATTATGGGATTAGTTTTGTATCATAAAAATAAACACTTTCTCAGAATAAAGCAAAACTAAGAGTTTAAGAGACAAAAAAACTGAGTCAAGCAAAATAAAATAAATTTAAAAAATGAAACTATAAGTTGCAAACAAATCATTTGTGTAATCATGTAAACTATAAGTAGTTCTTTGTTTTAACATAAGTTTTTGTTTGCAGTTCTCTTTGCTTGTTTCTCAATGATCAGACTTTTGCTCTTGCTGCAGCTCTCTCGTTTGCGCTCCTTCAAACGTCCCAGGTGGGCGGGACTTTCAGGGGTGTGTCCCCATTGGCTACTCAGTTTTTGAGTGACAGCCCACTACACCACAGATCATACAGTGCAACTCATGCAGCAAACTCCGGAGTCCACTCGGCCACGTTAGTGTCGGGCCCTTTCTCATTTCTCTAACTCCCCTCCTCGACTCCTATCCTCGATACTTAGTCCCGCCCACAGGAGATGCGAGCCGAGGAGTCGAGGAGGGGAACCGAGGAGAGAGGAGGGGAAGCAGCAGGCGGTTAGAGAAATGAGAACTCCTCTCCTCTGAGCGGTCATTTTAAAGAGACGTCCATTAATGATGACACGAGGCACAGCAGCCCTCTGTCTGATGGACAGATGTGTTCATGACGACTTATATATTTACTTTTAATTCATTCACAGTGCGGTATAATGAGACAATAACAGGCTACAGATGCGGACACACACACATATATATATATATATATATATATACATATATATATATATATATATATATATATATGTATATATTTATATACATAGGCCTATATATACAATTTCAGAATCAAACAGAGCACTCTCATAATAACGTAACACTATCAGAGACTGGATATATATCCCCCCCCCTCTCTGGTCGCTACAATGAGGAAAATAAATTACGGGCCAAAAGTTTTATATACAAGTATTAAAAGTACTGTAAGCAGAGGACACCAAACCAACTTAGACCTGTCTGTCCGCTGCATCTACGCACACACTCCTACCACACACGCACCTACAGCTGATTGATTGATTGATTGAAAAGTTTATTAACAGCTTGTATATTGGGTACAGTCAGGGTTGGGAGGGTTACTTTGTAAATGTAATCAGTTACTGATTACTGATTACATGGCTCTGAAAGTAATCCGAATACAGTTACGTGTCTTAAAAAAGTAACGTAATCAGATTACTTTTAGATTACTTTCTTTTTCCATCACAGATGGGTATGTTTTGGTGTACAGGAGACACAAAAAGCAAAAGGAAACTGAACGTGTTTTTACTGTTTTAATGGCTTATCAAGCGCACAACTGAAACATCACATCTGAAACGATGCAACAACATAATAAACTTTTTGGGGATGCAGCTTGGGATGTGAGGAGTGAGGGACACGGCTTAGAACGGGCGTGTCGCCTTCTGTCCTGCCAGTGTTGGCAGGACATGAATTAAAATGTCGAACTAGGACTTCATTTTAAGGACATGTCGGCCAGGGGTGTAGAGCTATATTTGTTTAAGCACCGGATCGGCAAAACAGGAGAGTGTGTGCACCAGTCTGCCTTGATCTATGAATTCATGTCTGTGACACTCAGTATCTGCTGCCCGCAGCTGTTTTATCAACACATCCTCACTCCCAGGTCGGCCTATGTTGACGTTATGTCAAGTTCCCTGTCGGCTTTTTCCAACGCAAGGGGGGGGGGCCTTAGCGTCCATTTTCAACGCAAGGGGGGGGGCCCTTAGCGTCCATTTTCAGCTTTCCGGGATGTCCATATGCTTCTATAGACGCTCATGGAAGCACGGCATTCGTTTGTGTCGGCTGCCCTTAAAGGCAATGTGAGCGTCCATTCTCATTGGATAACGGAGAATTGTACACCCGGAAGTAAGTATTCCCCTTACTGTCGATTGATTTTACAGTGATATCTGCACTACTCATCGACTAAAAAACACCAGATTATCCTTGTTAATTACACAACATTGATTGGTTTAAATTGTGTGCAATGCTTTTGTATTTTTCCCCTTCGATTCGGAGAAACATATATGTTTTCGGAGTAAAGGATGGCAGAAGACACTACACTACCCAGAATCCATTTTCCCAGAAAGAAGACCAGGTCATCAAGATTCAGTAATACAGCTTAGTTTAAACCATTTCACACAAAAGAAAAGTTAAACTCAATAATTTGAGAACTTCAATTAAGTGGTTTGGAAACATTTATTTGTATTGGCCACATGCAATCTGCAATGCAAAGAGAACCAAGAATAAAAACCAAATTCAGATTGAAGAAACCAGTCAGCGAAATGGATCCATTTCTGTTGGGAGAACAAAGTTTAATATAGCCGTTCAGAATAAATGTATATTGCAATACGAAACCCTTACCTTCAGGAAGTCACATCTGTGATGGTAAATGGCCCAATGACTGCTTTTTGTACCATTCCATGTTTCTCTGCAAAAATATATATTTTAGTACAAGTCAACCAAACAAGTGTAATACAGCAGAAGTTGTGTACATACCTGACGCAACACTCCTCTGCCTCCTTGACTTGCATTTTGATTCACAGCAGTCACAAAGATTGCTCTGGGCCAAGTTGTCCAGCAACTCCCAACTGAGTTCATGAAGATTGGATGAAAAGATAATTCAAATGCATCTCAACTCTTCCAAATAAAGATTCCACAAAGTTTGAATAGTTATGAATGGGATTCATCTGGATCTTCAGTAGACTGGGCTTAAGCTGAATAAGTCATCTCATGTAAAATAATGAACTTACAATTCAAATTGTGACACATTAAAGTAATATTTTTACCCATGCCCTTTGACAAAGTGGCAGGCTTTCTTAGTGCTGTCAAGACCATTGGGATCCCAAGCCAAAAGTTTGCAGTGGATAAAGACCTGTTGAGTAGAGGGGAAATATAGAAGTCATGGCATCAATTAATCTCAGTTTCCACAATAAAACCTTGACTCTGACAAAATAAATAAATGTAAAGGCCAAGTTACCTCTTCTCCCATAGCAAACGTAAAGGTCTGAAGTGATAGGCGAATCTCCGATGACTTTTGCCTTGGTTCGAATTTTGATCGTGACGACACACTTTCCAAAAGACATCTGTTGGGTTAAAGAAAAAGTATTAGCATTACGACCAAGGTTTCGACCAAAATATATTTTTGAAATGAATGCTCATTGCCATGAGTACCCTTTATTGGAGATGATAGGGTACATGGTGCTTTCAGGGTACAGCTCTGGTGTGGTAGCAGCTACACATTCCTCAAGAAGCAGCAGCAAGGGCTGATGGGTCTCCTGCACCACACTAGCCATGATGGGGATGATGGAGCCCAGAGGAAAGCGTGTAGATTCAGCAGGGCCTGAGAAGTCGTCTAGGGCAGTAAACAGGAGAAGAGTCATTAAGTTACAAGTCAGGGAGAGCTGCCGTTCGTAGAGAGTTTCTCATGTTGTTTACCCACCATTCATGAGGCCAATGTTAAACTGCAGATCTCCTAGACTGTAGGTTTTAAACACCGGGTCATAGATCGTAGCATACCAGTCTTTGGGCCTGCAAAAAATAAAGCAGAAGGGTACAGAAAATGCTGCAAAGTGAAACTATTGAACTTATTAGTGCAAGCTTGTTTACTCCTACGGACAAATTCTTTATTCTGCCGGGTTATTTTGCCAGTCTTCTTCTCCCACATTCCACATCGCAGAAACTCCGTTCAAACATCAAAACGTTCTGCTCGGTCGGGAATCGATTGCTATTACTTTCCTCATTCATAACTTTCATAATTCCCGAGATATATCACATTTTTTACATGGAAGTCAATGGAGAAACTCTTCAGACTTGAAAAATCTTCATGCAACTTCAACTGCTAACTGTTCCTTCATACTTTCACTCAGAAACCTCATTCCAACTTTAAAATGTTACACATCTTTCTGACATTATTCATATTAAACAACTTTGAAATCAGATTCATACTTTTAGAAATATTAAACATTGTTCAGACCTTGGTAAAGAGGCTTTCTTTATATATATATATATATATATATATACACACATATTTTTTTAACCTGCCATAATTCCCAAACCCTACATTCATGAGACGTAATTTTTCATTAGAAGCGTAGGAAAACATCTCCTAGCTTGTAAAAAAAAAAAAAATTAAGCAAAACAACAAAATTTCTCTTGAGGGCATGAAGTGACAAAAACTTTCAACACTTCTCCATTAAAGCCCATTGCAAATTCAGGCTCATCTCTCCTCACAGCAGCAGCCGCACACCTTTAGTTAATCTGCCAAAATTGCCACATTATTGACCCGAAAGTACAGAAAGCACACTCCAGATGCTTCACGCGTTGAAATTTCACCGAAACAAAAGGTTCACATGCAAGAGATTTATCTCTCATTCAGAACAATGGAAAGGCTCTCCTCTCACTGATTACTGCACATCACCATGAAACCTTTGATCTCAAGCACAGGTGTTTCATAACGTCGTTAGCTCAAACATAAACACCTGCGTGATGGAACATGATGGTGTCATAACGCCAACTGACATGCTCAGAACGCCACCAAACATCACATGATGGTTAACACTGTGGCCCTGAAGAGCTCTACATCAAATCTGATGTTACGTAATGTGGTGTTACTATGGCAACGCATCCCTCTCCATAAAACGCGATGTCGCTGTAACTCCAATGGACACGGTCCAATCGTCCCCCAATATTCACTTTTATATCACCGGTCCATGCCTCAACAGCTCTACGCCAAATCTGAGATCTCACCATATGCCGTTTCCATGGAAACACATCCCTCGCCTTAAAACATAATGTTGTCGTGATACCCAAGCAAATGGTCTAAAACAGCACCAGACTTCAGATAATGGTCTGGCCCTCAACAGCTCTATTTCAATTATGGGGTTTCATCATATGCCGTTTCCATGGAAATGCATCCCTCGCCATGAAACATGATGTCGCTGTAACTCCAATGGACACGGTCCGATCGTCCCCCGAACTTCGATTATATATCACCGTTCCATGCCTCAACAGCTCTACGCAAAATCTGAGATCTCACCATAGGCTGTTTCCATGGAAACGCATCCCTCGCCATAAAACACGATGTCGTAACTGATATGAAAATGGTCAAAACATCACCTGACTTCAGATGACAGTTAATGGTCCAGCCTTCAACATGTCTATGTGCCTTTAGTGAATTTTCCTCAAAAGCTGTTGCCATGGCAACGCATCCCTTGCAATAAAACACGATATTGCTATAACTCCTATGAAAATTGTCAAAAAGTGCTAAAACTTCACATGTGTGGGCCAACAGTCCAGCCGTGAAGACATCTACGGGACAGTTTTGAGATTTCTTCAAATGCCGTTGCCATGGCAACACAATGCTCGCCATGAAACATGGTTCTCATAACTTCAGTGAAAAGGCTCCAAACGGCCCAACACTACACAGATTTGGTAACGATGAAGCCATCCACATATCTAAGCGTATTATGGGGCGTCATCAAATACCGTTGCCATGGCGACAGATCATTTGCCATCAAGTTAGTTCAATAGTTTGCAGTTCAAATATTCTGCTGCTTTTCCAAGCTTGTTTACTTCTCTTATAAACACATTAAAGCCCCCAGTGTTCATGTATCATTTCAATCTAAATTCTTCAGTTTCTTCTTACACATTACATTTCAGCGTCAGCATAAAGTATTCCCACTAGCAAATTCTTCAGGAATAGCATTCTCTAGTTATGAACTGTTACTCCTATGCTAAAAGACAGTCCAAAATAAGTAGAAATGAACTACTTCCTCCAAAATGCAAACAACTAGAGTGAACTTAAATGTGTGATGTTCAATTAAAACTATAGGAACAACTCAATTGGGAAAAACAGTGTACCTTAGGGATTTCTCTCAGTAAATGGGGAAATTTTGTGATGAGAATACTTTGGGAATAGAACAGAAACAGGCTGTAGATTCCCTAAATCAGTCTCCCATTCATTGTCTATATAGCAGCTTCAGACTTTATACCTGATGACATCATAAGTTTGAGAGGGACTTCCATGGTTGGTGGCTTTGAGAGGGAGAAGCTTATCAAATTGAACTTTCCCAGGCCATGAAAATGCCAAATTGGAATTGTTTGTCAAGGGTAGTGTCACCCTTTAGCACCTTATGTTGGTATGAACACTAACCTATCATATGCACATACAACTGGGTGGGTGAAGGCCAAATTGTAAGAATCCGCAGAAGCAACGTAGGTCAGATCATTGCTGTACACCAGTGCATCCCCGGTGACCTGTTAGAGAGACAAAGATCCCCCTGAGAGAGCTGTAGGAAATATATCAGACTAACAGCTAGCAGGTTTAAAATATATATACACATACCAGTCTCCTAAAGTTACAATCAGTGAGATCCACATAGAAGTAGGCCTCTCCTGCTGAGAAGCTAGTTGGGAAACAGTTACCCAGACGGAGAAGCGACGTGTCGGCCTGGGGTCGGCTTTCTCTCCACATCAGCGTCACAAAATCTGGCCCACAGTCCACTTTCATGTCTGCAACACAAATAAATTAAGTTAAACTCAACTATTTGAGTCAAGGATAATAACATGGCTTTAATTGTTTCCAGTCTTACCTGCATATACTGCCATAGCAGCTGCCAGGCTCAGAAGCAGTGCACCTTGACAAAATGAAACCATCATGACCGAATGCTTGCTACTGACACAGTGCATGTTCTTATACCTTGTTCCTGAGAGGCATTCATCAAGATAACGTCTTTCACCTGGTGCCTGTCAACAGTCCCAGCTGCAGCAGCTAGAACACTGATTACAGCATGGGGAGCATCCAATCACATTAGTCCTTACACCCAATTCATTTTTATTCAGCTTCATAAGCAGCACAAAATCACCATTTCTTCATAAATGTATTATCCTGTGTGACTACCTTAAATTCTTATTTAAAACACTTTGAGGATCATAGTGCATGGGTTGTCTTACTGATGTTTTGATTTAGTTTTGCTGTTATATATATTGACATTAATATATGTATACGTTGGGATTCTTTGTTCAACTTTAAGTCAAGCAAGAAAAAGTTTTCTTTGAGAATTAAAAGGTGTCATTTCTAAACAAATGATCATTTTGGGGAAGGTAGTATTCCTTTATCAGATGTCCTGTCCTATTCAAATGTGTTATTTTTATATCTTTGACCTAATGGAAACTCAAGGTAAGGGAAAAAGGTACATTTAAGTTGTATTCAGTGTGAGAAAATATCCACACACGTGAATATTAGTTGTGTTGCTATGATGTCATCCTTTAACTGCATAAACACGTGCCATGCAGGCCATCCCTATTGATGTTATATTCATGGCCATAAAGTAAACTATGCTACATTCAACTGCAGGCATGAGTGGCCAGAAAATAAATTCAGATCAGAATTGTCTTTTCAAATGAGGCTCAACATAAATAATTGCCATAGTTGTAATAGCAGACAGATCACCAATAGCTTTTAAATCTGGTGGTGTATGTAATGTCAGAATGTGTATCATGTGCAGAGCTCAATGTAAAATGGAAAGTGAAAGAAAGATTCAGGGGCTATACTCCAACTCACATGGCCATTAAAGGTTTAAAGCCATGCTGATGTATTTTAGCCTTAACGATTGCTGCCTCCTCAGATGGGAACTCCTGGATGACAAGAGAGGAGACGAATGGGGTATCGCTTTTATGCTAACTTGTATGCTTTCTTTTAATGTAGTCTTTTCATTATGAAGTTATTATTGTTTTCTTCCACCTCAGAATCCAACGGCTTCATGCACACTTCTGTGTTGGGACCCCTGATCATAATGGATCCATCGCAACAAAATGCCCACAATGCATCGGATGTTTCCATTGCTGACCAAGGTTAATGAGTATTTATTTATGGTATTTGTCTTGACGTTTTGTTCAAAACTTGCCATAAGACTAACGTTGCTAAACATTTTCTCAACAGGAAGTCCAGTCTAAGATTGGGGAGACTGAACAGAGGGCCCAGGTGGACGACATCCATATGCAGATTAAAGTTGTCTATAATCTCTGTATAAATAAAACTGTTGTTAACTCCTGTTGAGTATACAACGAGTATCTTTACTTCATATGAAGGTTCTACTGTCATCAACTGTGTCCATCTGTCCCATCAGTAGAATTTTACTAATTTTGTGTTACTTTTGTCATTGAAAGATACTGTAAATTATAATGTAACCTTTAATGGCCATGTGAGTTGGAGTATAGCCCTGAATCTTTCTTTCACATTCCATTTTACACTGAGCTCTGCACATGATACACATTCTGACATTTCATACACCACCAGATTTAAAAGCTATTGGTGATCTGTCGGCTGTGAAGTAAAAACTTATTTTTAGCAATGTTGAGCCAATCATCAAATGAGGGAAACTGGATTCGCCTGTCAATACACTGATATTTATTGAGAGACAAACGGCCGGAGGATTAACAAAGCAACTCGCACTGTTCAATGCAAGCTGCCAAAATTAACTCTGCCCACACAAAGACAGAAGCGCTCGAACCTGGTCTCTGAGAAGGGGCGGAGCCCAGAAACGCGGGCCTTTACCCCAATCGATTACAGATGAACAGACAAAGAAACTCTGTCTGAGTGGGCAGTAAACCCTTCCCCCCCACACAGAGAAAGAGTAGTCACTCATGTGAAGTTTCTCAGGTCAGCTACGCATCAGACTAAAATATTCCTTTACAGATCCACCCTTTTATCAATTTATGATAATCAATTAACATTAGTCTAAAGAATATTTCAGTCAATACTTAAATCAATAAGCGTCTTCAGAGTTGTGTGGGCTCACTCACATTAATTACATCAAAAGTAGAACAAGATTGAAAACACTTCAATCACCATGATTGAACACAGTCAATCATAATACAAATCATCTCTCTTCAGTGCTTGGCATCATTTGTCAAAAAGCACAATAAACATGTGAAATACAAAAATATTATAGCAACATATATGTTTCAAAGATAAGATCTTTTATTATTTATCACTAAGTTAATCTCATTCATCAAACACAAATTCTAAATCAGCTTACATCTCAAAGATTTACTTCAAGGCAATTACTTATTAAAACACAATTATAATTTAGGATTTATAATAAATCCAATTGATTCAAGAGTAAGGCATGATATTTAATTAATTACATTGCTTCAACTATCAATCATTATGTCATTTCAAAATCTGAAGGGAAAACTAAACAATTCTCAAGATGTTTAACAATCTGAAAAGGAAAAATCAAACATTTTATTGTATAACAACCTGAAAAAGAAAAAGAAAAACATCTGTTCTTTATTCAGAGTGTCAACTGTGATCAATATCAAAACATCTGTTCTTTATTCAGAGTATCAACTGTAATCAATATCAAAACATCTGTTTTACCTGGTAATGATTAAGGATAGTAACATTGTCTGTAATCAATATTAGAAATATCTTATTGTTCAATACCTTATAAATCTGAAAATATCAATTAATTAATTAGTTTAGTGTGAAAGTGTAATCTGATCTGACAAAATATATTTACCACCACTATTTAACACATATCTGTTCATTGGGAATACAAAAACAATCATTAATTGTACATGTGTAATCATCTGGTCATTCAATTCAAATGTTATCTTTGTACGAGAGCTAGAAGACATGTTTTCCTCCTCTCTTTATGACACAGAATGTCTGGTGTGTAAAGGCATCCTGATACTGTAGATTAGCACTGAGGTGCTGATTGGCTCAAAACTCTTCTTCATCAGAGCGCCATAACTCAATTATCTGTAGATTAGCACTGAGGTGCTGATTGGCTCAAAACTCTTCTTCATCAGAGCGCCATAACTCAATTATCTGTAGATTAGCACTGAGGTGCTGATTGGCTCAAAACTCTTCTTCATCAGAGCGCCATATCTCAATCCCCCCCAATTGCTCTGCTTTTGTGGCTCATTCAGTGAGCACTTTATGATCTCCCAGTGAAACAGAGGCTCATCTGCCTGTATTCCTTCTGCTATCTGCTTGAGAGCAGTGCACCTGCCTATTCCAAGTGGCACATCCAGATGCCCCCCCCGTGATGGGAGAGGTTATGAAAACATCTGCTCCTCCAAGAAACATGGAACCTTGTATGAAGCCTCTGAAGCCATTGCTCGTCCTGCAGAGTTGTCTGCCTGAGCCCACCGAGCAGAAAGATGAAGAAGCATCCCATCTCATCAGAAAGTTGAAGATTAGAATCCTCTCATCTCGAACGACCTCCTTGCCCGTGGATAAGTTGCTCTCTGCAGCCGGAGAGTGTGATCCTCTCTCTCTGACCCTTGGCCTTCAGAGCTGTCCTAGTTATTGGGTTAACACTTGATAGGGATGTTTTCCTGAGTGCAGACAACTCAAAGTAATGGATTAGCACATTATCATTCAATTACAAAAATAGGATAGGCCCCCTCAGAATGATTTGGGAGCCTTCCTAACACATGCACATTATAAATGTAAGGTTTGTGTTAGTCATTTAACATGCAAGAATCATATACTCATCAGTCCAAAGCAGAGAAATGTTATTTTAAGTTAAATGTGAGCTAGTCCCTGTGGAATAACCCTTTCTCAATGATTCTGAATGTTATATTAATTCATCATTTACCGTTTGATCAAGGATTAGTTTATCAGAAGTACATTTCCTCTTCCATAAAACATAGGTTTGAGAAATGAATGTTCCAATATGAAATCAATTTCTCAATATAATTTGACTCTTCCCTCTCTTTTCTTACATATTGTCACATATGAAATAATAACTTAGGAGTCTATTTAAGCATGGTATTGTCTATATAAGCTATTAATCGAGAAAACTCAGAGTCAGTATGCAACTCGCAAATATCTCTCCTCCTTCCTATCCCTCTTTACTCACTTCCCCATCTCTTTCTCATCCCTCTCTCTTCTTCATCTCACTCTCATCTCCCTTTACTCACTTCCCCATCTCTTTCTCATCCCTCTCTCTTCTTCATCTCACTCTCATCTCTTTCTCTCTTATTTCTGTTAGATATGAAGTAAAAACATACAAGTCCATGTAAACATCTGAGTTACCACCGTTACCAAACGGTGTGCCGCGGCACACTGGTGTGCCGTGAGGCAAGTCCGGGTGTGCCGTGGGATTTTGTGACAACCATACGTTATTATTGCAATATACAACTACACAAAAATAATTATTTTTCTTTTAATTTACTATATCAGTACTTTGTAGGTTTATATGTACGTAATCTGCGTGACTTGCGCGTCCACATCTCCACGTGCAGTGCTGCATAAACATGGCTGAGTCAGCGATAACTCTCGAGGGGTGGAGGTATGCCCATTATTTTTATATCACGCAGTCTGTTCTTCTTCTCTGTCTTTCGGTTGTTGCCTGTATTGAATGACAAATACACACTACCGCCATGGATGTACAATAAGAACTGGATACAGCGTGGGAGGCGGGGCCTCATTCATTTCTATGAGAGCTGCTCATTAGCGCATGATGATAAAATGGCCCAACTTTTGAGAGAGTGAAACGTCACAGATTACCCAGCATGCCTGAGAAGTACCCGTATGTGCACTCATAGAGCATGCGCAACTTTAACCAAAATGCTCGTTCACATCAAGCACGTCAATTTGCGTACGCGTAACAGCACCGCGCGTTCATGACAGCATGGTAATGGATTGTTGTTATCATGGATTTGATATGAACGAGGCGGCAGTTAGCAGCTAGCGGCTAGCTAGTAATGATCTAGTGATATCGGTAATATTAACTCTATTTAATACAACATTTACGGTACAAGATTTAATCATACAGCCCATGTAGTATGACAATGAATTACAGCAAACATGTGCAATATATCCATTATTACAGCTCCGTGGGATGGCAGTAATACGATATGGATCCGTTCCCATTGTGCATCCATGGGTAAAGATAAACGCAACTCACATTGGTTTCTCATACATCTCTGTAAACTACGTGTATTCACTGAATTTCACTCTCTGCCTTTAACGGCTCGTTGTAGCTCCAATAGCTCCAGCCCCCACCCTCCCTGTGAGCACAGTGTGCTCTGATTGGTCGGGACACGTAACATGAACGTGCCGGGCTGCGCGGTCCCGTGGATTAGATGCGCGTTCATAATGCAGAGGGAAATAACTCTCAGAATAACGTTATTAGCAAATTTTTTACAACTTGAGGAACGAATGTTTTTAATAAGGGCTATACAAGTGTTCATACTGGGTAGTTTATTTAGTTAAAAAAATTATCCAACGAGTTACAGACCACTCTTTCCCCATGTAAGTCAATGGGAAAAAGTGTTTCCGGGCCTGGCAACCAAACGGAAGTGTAGTACCGCCGTTTGGCCAGCACGAATATTTTCATCTGAGTCCGGCGCACTTCCTGGGGGCTTGACTACCGCCGCCTGCTGGTAAGGAAAGTTATTGCCACTCACGCATGCGCAGTTTGTACGTGCTCGGCGAGTAAAGTAACGAGTAAAGTAACGAGTTACTTTATGTAGATAATAACGAAGTAGTGTAATATATTACTTTTTTTTAAAGTAATACATTTATAAATTGTAATTTGTAGTTCAGGACCATGGACAATTCAGCTTCCTTGCATTGACAGTTGTCTGTGCTGAATTTCTGCTGAGTTTCCTTTGCCTCATTTTCTATTTTGTGACCTGTCTGGTGTAAATGAGTGTGTTGCTGGTTTGATGAAGCCTAATTTGATAAAGTTTCAAATTAATTTGGGAAATATTTCGTAATATAGTTGTCTTTGTCACATTTTATTTGGCATTAGTAAATAATTATGCACATTGACAAATACTTTACATGATATGAGTGATAACACGTGTTATAAGGGCTATTTTTCACAATAGGTGTGCCTTGAGATTTTTTTCTTGTCCTTTGGTGTGCCTTGGGCACAAAAAAAGTTTGGGAACCACTGGCATAAATGATAGTGGGCGTCTGAGGGTGTCATTACTGAGAAATGTCAAAGAAATTCAAAACCTTACATTTTAAAACAGGTTTGCATTCCTCCACTTAAGGTGACGTTATCATTGGAAACAATAAAAACGAACTATTTTGATGTAGAATCTATAAATTGAA